AACACTTTCCTTTCTTTTTCATTCTTCAACTTCTTTTGCAGTTGCTGTACAGGGAATTTAACCCCAGGGCACTGAACCACTGAGCCATATCCCCAATCCTTTTAATTTTTTATTTTATTTTTAAAAATTTTTTTTTACTTTTTTCTAATTTGTTACATATGGCAGCAGAATGCATTACAATTCATATGACACATATAGAGCACAATATTTCCTATCTCTGGTTCTACACAAAGTACAGTCACACATTGCTTTCCTATATCAGGAAATTTTACCCATTCTCAATGCCCCTGCCCACCTGGCCACCTGGCCTGCCCAAATGGGATACGTAAAGTTAAGGGTAAGGGTAAGTCTGAGCTTAGCAGGGTTCAGAGTACCCTTGCCCCACACTGCTGGAAGGGCATGTGCACAGCAACCCCAAAAGTGAGGGCCTGCCCCACTGGACACTGACCAGCTGTAACTGCAGCTGGACATCCAGCCTGCTGTGGGCCTGGCCCTGAAGGCCTACAGATTGCAGTTCTGGACCAAGACTCTGTCTCAGAAGATCCAGGAGCTAAAAAGGGCTAAGGACAAATCCACAGAGCTCTAGCTCCCTGTTCAAGGAGGGAGGGAAGGGCTATGTGCAGGTGGGGTCTGCCTGTGTTGTCCTCTGTTGCTCACCATGGAGCCCGGGTTGGCCCTCTCATTCACAGAGCCATTCATTCACTCTTCATTTGTCCTTCAGGCAACACTGATGTAGAACTCACCTCATGATGTTCATTGCCCAGGTTACCTTGGGTCCTTTCTCATTAGACACACTCAGTCAATCCCTCCAGAAAGCTGTGGATGGGTAAGCCCAGTGGATGCCCACCTTCCTCCACTGAGTCTGAATATAGTCCCCACTGGGCCTGAGTATACTCCTCCCTTCCTCACCTCACCTCTCTAGTACTTTCTGTCTCCTCTCCTCCAAGCACTTAGATACTCTTTAAAGAAGGCCTGTGCTGTGAGAATGTTGCCCACACCTGAGTGTCAAAATCCCACTTCTACTTCTCAGCAAGCCTCATGTATTCTCATCTCTGACATTGACCACCAGACAGACTGGACTAGAAAATCTGTTTACCTAAAGTCCTAGTATCTTGGTACATTCAGACTGCTGTAACAAACATCATCACAAAGTGAGTAGCTTATAAACCACAGAAAATTATTAAGAGTTTGCAAAATGATTTCCAACTCAAGATGCCCAGCCTGATATGGTGGCACACACTTGTAATCCCAGCAACTCAGGAGTCTGAGGAAGGAAAACGACAAGTACAAGGCCAGCCTCAGCAACTTAGCGAGACCCTCTCTGAGAGGACACTCAAAAAGTGCACTGGAATCCCACGTGAGAGATTTATTGTCAGTAGCATGGAGCAAACTGACAAGGCTGTCCTTCCTGGGACAGCAGCCACAAGAGTGCTTAGGGGTTGCGTCATGGGCTGGGGTGGGGTGAGCCTTCTAGCAGGCACATTCAGAATCAAAGCCTGGGAGTCCCTAGATAAAATGGCTCCTAAATCTAAACCTGGGAGTCCCCATATAAACATGGCTCCCGACCTAAAATGGCAGATTTGGTGCCAATATCTCACGCCAGTATTCCTCCATTGTTATTTTCATAGATGTGGGGTTGTGGGGGAGCACGATGGTCTTTCTTCAGTAGTTTCTTTCTGCTGCTTAGAGGCACAGAATCTCATTCCTATAAAGGCGGTCAGGGAGGATGTTAGGTGGGGCCAGAGTCTCTGGAGTTGGAGCAATTGACCACGAGTCATAGGGCTCTGTCTTGGGAGTCAGGGGCTGGTAGTCTCAAAGGAGAAGATGTTGATTGACCAACTGTTGGTGAATTTGTGTATCTGATCTTGCATGAACTTCTGTAGGCAACTTAACAGACATGGCCCTAGTAGGAGAAACATAAAGAGGACTAATAAGGGTCTTGCTGGGGAGAGAATCCAAGGCCACACTAGATTGTATACTTCCCAAGGGCACTGGTGGCCAATTGCTGTTTCCTCTTTTCTAGCTGCTCTTGTAGTTTTTTTTCCTTGTTCTTCCTACCCCTGACTGGTGGACATAAAACAGCACTGCTCCTGTAGGTATAGGTAGAGGCCTCCTTTCTCTGCTGTTAATAGGTCCAATCCACAGCAGTTTTGTAGGACCACAGAGGCTAAGGAGTCCAGCTGATTCTGCAGGGTTAATATAGACTTGGCTACCTGCTGGTTATCCCCTATCAGATGATTGGAGAGCTGATGAAAGTTATTCGTGCGTTTCCTGTGGCTAGGCCTGCTGTAACCCCAGAGTGGCTGGGAAACAAATGGAATAGCTCATTTGTGTCAAGGGCTCATATGAGCACAGACTTACCAAAGAGGTCTTTAGTCCTAGAAGACCTGCTTTTAAATGAGAGAAGCCAAAATCTCTTTCCAGGAGGAGTGAGGGCTGAGAAGCTGTCCCCATAACAAGGGTGGAGAGGACAAGGCCTTTATTTGGGAATATATATCTTTAACATAGCCAGAGTTATCAGGAATATAAACACATTTAATTTTTTTTAAAAAAATTTTTAGTTGTAATTAGACAGAATACCTTTATTTTATTCATTTATTTTTTTTTAATGATGCTGAGGATGGAACTCAAATCATCTCACATGCCAGGCGAGTGCTCTACCATTGATCCCCAGCCCCAGCCCAACATTTAAATTTAATGTCACAGATGTCCATCCTCTCAAGATGTAGTTAAGCTATTTAATGTCATCTGATTCTGTAAAACATCTATTTTTGTTACTTAGGGCTGGATAATCATACTAGTGAACATCAAACCTACATGTTTAGGTTAGGAATATCTGTAGGCCTTAAAACTAAAAACTTCTGGCTTTGGCGGTTTCCTAGATTATTATTGGGCATTCTTTCCTAATCATCTTTTTCAGCCTGCAGTTTTATATGTTCTTGGGGAGAACAGACGTGTATATCGTAGGTGAAGTGCTCTAGCTCTTAAGCTGATCTTTGCCTCTTTCTTAAATATCATTTCAAATCATAATATATTGTCTCTTTTTGAAGTCCATTTTGTAAGGTCAGACAGCAGTGACCAATTGGAAGCAGATTTAAAAGGCTGCTGAAGGAGGCTTTATTGAGATTTTGCTCCTAAGCAAGACCCTCAGATCAACTGGGCAGATCCAAGGAGAAGCGAGTGGGGCTGGACCAGACTGAAATTCTTATTGGGCTTAGGGCAGGAAGGGAGGGCTTGGGATAGGAAAAGGGGTCTCTTGTCCTACTGGGGTCTCTTGTCCTGGTGGGGTTGGTTGAGGGAGCTTGCTAAGATCCAGGATTGGTCTGGAAACCCCGCTTATTGGCAGGTGGTTCTGTCAGTGTTTGGTTGGTGGTTCTTTCGTGCATTCAGGTTTATTAATGACCTCACACCGACCTAACATCCTGGCCTTTTTGACGATATATGGCGGCGACATACATCTGGATACTTCTTGCTGGCTAGGGGCACTAGGGGAAGGGGATGGTTCAGGTGTTGGTTTGGTAGAAAGGTGACTATAGGGGTGTAGGGGCATCAGGTTGTAGGTCACTCTGGCAACTTCACCCATGCGCTTTTGGGCAAACCTGAGGGGGCAGGGAGCAATCATTAATAGGAGTCCTACCAATATAGGAGTGAGAATGGCAGTCACCCACATAATGAGGATTGAGTTTAGCCAACCTGGACAAGGGTCAAGGGTCATTTGACTGTTGCTGTTTAAGCCTTTCACCCAAACAAAAGCAGGGTGTTGACATTCTTTTTGATCAATCCAGTTTCACTAATATAATAGCAGCGTTCTGCTTTCAGGAATAGATAGGTTTCTCCTTTGTCTGCCATCAGGAGATCTAGGGCTCGAAGGTTCTATAATGAAACTTGAGCAATGGATGTGATTTGCCTTTGTAGGGAAGTGAGAGAGGTGGCCGATGCCTCAACCACTTCCCGAAGTTGTTCTTCAAGCTTCTGAGTAGTGGTTACTGCATAACCAAGTTCTCCGGCCCTCAGTCCAGAGGCAGTGAGTGAGGAGGCCAGAGAGAGTCCAACTACTACTGTTAGAAAGACGACCCATCTTGTCCTGGAAAGAGAGATAGAAACAAGTCATATTCATTCAGCCTCACTGTACAGAGTTTATTGAGTGACCAAGATGGAAGGAATATAAAAAAGCAAAGGTCATGTTGAGGCTTAGAATTTTTTTAGAGTACCATTGCCACAGAAAAAGAACCCCAGCAGAACAAATGATGGGAAAGTGATTTGAATGATTTGGTCACAGGGTGCTGAACCAGAGGAAGTGTAGCAGCAGGCGAAATTCCCTGATGAGTTATGAAAAAGAGTGACTTCCTCAAAGGCTGGAGAGGGGGCCCTTGGGGTATGGTTGAGGTATTGAGAGGAAGATCAATGGAGATCTCAGTTAACAGAGTACGATGCAAACCTGCGCAGAGGAAACAGTCTGAAACGTCATTAACTTTGGATAAATTGAGAAGCTGAAGGTCCTGACATATTAGGGCCATCCCTGAGAAAGGGTCAGCTTTAGGATGGGCAATTGCATCCAGCTGGTGTTGGAGTTCCTTCTCTTGCTCCTGGATGGTTTTGTGAATTTGAGGAAACACTTGTATATAAGTTCTCCAGATTCTGATAGAGGCTGAGGGGTGCTTGGAGAACCCCAAGAATAAAATTTACCAAAACACCAGAAGCCCATTTTGGGTCCCATGGTTCCCAAAGAATTATATTTGGTGTATGCTTATTTCTCATACCAAGGCTGATCTAGGAAGCGTTTCTTGCATGAATTATAAGGGCACCCGCCATAGGTGTCAGGCCAACCCTTACCAGATTCCTCAGTTTGGTCTGATATGAAGCATACCATTGCTGCACATAGGTGGGACAAGGGGGCTCAGTTGAATCCAGTAATGTTAAGGGTGACCACCTATTGCAGCCAATGGAAGGACAATCACCTTGACCCATAAACTGAGAGCAGGTGGTGCCATCCTGGTGCCATGGCTCTTGGATGTAGAAGAACCATCTGTGGGTTGGGATAGAAGTTTGAGAGAAGTAATGATTACTAAAAGAAAAAGAAGGTGGGCTCCAGTGTGCTGTAAGTCCAGGAGTAAACATTTGGAAGAGGAGATTTTTTTTTTAAGGCAGGAGACATGGTATCAGGGGGAGTGGCCCAAAAGCTTGTCCGCTGTTGGGGTAGTAAGTATGTCTTTTCAGGGTCTCATCCATCGAGGTTCCAATGATTGAGGATGCAGTTCCTGAAGTAAGACTGTGTCGCCCTGTAGAAGAGGGTCCAATTCAGTTTGTGGCTGTTCTGGGATTGAGTCAATGGAAGGCCCAGGAAAGCAAAAGTCTGTGTGTGCCCTTAGAATTTTGTGTAGAAATATGAGATAGGGCAGGAAGGACACAAGGGGAGAAGGAATGAGTGGAAAGCTTTGGTTGATTAAGAAAGGGCACCCATAGAGTAGCTCAAAGGGGCTCAGGCCTGAGGGGGCTCTAGGGCTGCCTCAGCAGGAGATTGGGCCAAGACAGCCTGAGTTCAATAGCAAGTCTGGTGAGATGATCCTTGAGAATGCCTTTAGCCCT